ATAGTAAATGTGCATTAATTATTAACATTCTAATTTGAAAGTTTCGGAAAGGTTTCGGGTTTCGGGTTACAAGTATAGTATAAACCTTTAAAGTAGCTATGGTAGTTTGTATTTTAACGAATGTAGAAATGAGTCCCTAGAATGAATCATTTATTAATTAATAATTATCTCCTTATTTACAGTATATTCAACGATTCAATATTCACTAACATTTATTTGTGTAAATGATCACATAATCATTTGTTAGTATATGCTGAACTGATTTTAATGTACTGTACTTACGAGAATTCTTTTAAAAGGCAATGTTCTTAATTCTAAAAATACGTTCTCATAAAATATTATTATATAAAGTTTAGTCAATTAATATTCTCTCAAATTATTAAATATAAAAGAACACTGTTTTAAAACAAATGGTGTCAATTCAGAAGTGATGTTCTTATGAGAACATAAGATTTCCAAGATTTAATACATGTATTTAAATTCAGAATGTCAAGTTCTTCCTTATTTCCCGTTAAACGAAACCCTCGATTCATATCGATTTAGTATTATCAAGAGTCTGCTGAAATGGGTGATTAAAAGGTCTATCTCTTGGCATTATTATCGGGACTGAATTTAAAAATGGCAAAGACAATATTAATTATTTAAAGATAGTATCATCTAAAAGTAGTCTAAGGTATCATTAAATTTAACGCGTGTTCGGCATTGAATACATAAATTATAAAAATTTACAATTAGTCAATGTCAATGCTGTAATTGTAATTCGTAGAAATTATAAGAATAAAAAAATGTTTTTAACCACATTAAATTAAAGAATTAATTAATCATTTAAGAGTTTTATTAAAATACATTTTAGAATATATGTAAAGATACAAGCATAAAATCTTAAGTTCTAAACTTTAGTTAAAAATATTTCATTTCAATTAAATTTTATTTATAATGTCGTAAGTATTTTTACGATGGGTTAATGCCCATGCATTATTTGGTTCAATTTCTAATAATTTATCTAAATCTGCAAGTGATTCTTCAAATCTACTCATTAAGAGATAAATTGAACCACGACTCTTTAATGCGTTTTGCATTATTTGGTTCAATTTCTAATGATTTATTTAAATCTGCAAGTGATTCTTCATATCTACTCATCATATGATAAGTTGAACCACGACTCAATAATGCGTCTGCATTATTTGGTACAATTTCTAATGATTTATTTAAATCTGCAAGTGATTCTTCATATCTACTCATTAAGCGATAAGTTTCTCCACGATTTCTTAATGCGCTTGCATCATTTGGCTTAATATCTAATAATTTATTTAGTTCTAAAAGTCTTTTCTCATATTTACCCATTCCATCATAGTTTAATAGCGAAGAAGAAGAAATGGTAGTTAATGTTAAATTCGCCAGGTTTGAATCTAATGTAAACTTATTTAATCCTAAATTAATTTCATTAATTTCATGTGTTAATTTTTGAGTATTATATTGTTCTCCAATGATAGCCTGTCCATTATTGATAATTAAATTTTCCAAATCCGAAAAGACTTGCTGAATATCTGGGCGGCTGTTAGGATTATGTTGCCAGCAATCTATTTATTTAATTAAAATTATTCATGAACCTTTTTCAAGGATACAAAAATATAATAAGAAATTTATACCTGTATATATTTTTATATATGCTTGCGGTGTTCCTTCAATAGGACTTTCTCGAACACCATCTTTAATATCTAAAAGTAATGATGCAAGCTGATGTTGTTCCATATCATCTTCAAAAGGTGAATAGCCACTAGATATTTCCCACATAATAACTCCAACACTATATATATCTGATTTTTTATTAAATCTAAACTTTTTATTTTCATTTCTTGATCTTCCAAAACTTTGTGGGTCCATGTATGGAATAACCCCAACAAATTTTCGATTTGAAGTTGTCGCTTCATCTAATCTCTTTGAAAGCCCAAAATCTGTAAGTTTAATGCACTTTTGATGAACAAGTATATTTTCTGAATGCTAACAAAATAATAAATATTTATGTTTAATAAAAATAATTATAATTATAAAAGCATTTATTTGAAAAAAATTTACCAGATCACGATGAACTATATCTTCAACATGTAAGTATTTAACCGCGCTGGTAATCTGTAACGCAAAATTAATTTTATCATTCCAAGAAAGAGATTTAAAATTATTTTTTAAATATGATCTTAAAGTTCCACTATCAGCATATTCAAGAACTAGCATGTAATCTGTAGAATTCGGATTAAATTTATCTATTTCATATGTAATAATATCATATATTGTATGTTGATTTATTAGTAAAAAAAATTTTGTAATTTTTAAAAATTAAATTAGTGATTTCACCTTTTTCATTCTTAGTAGCACCAAGTAAGCGTGTAATATTAGAATGTACATCCACTCTACAATGTAATTTAAGCTATGTAAATAATATTTTACAATTAATAATTAATTAATATTATATGGTTACAAAAAAATTAATAATAAATTAGTTAATTACTTCTTTAACAACTTCTTTAATGTCAACATTGTTCTTAAATGATTTTAATGCGACGGTAATTTCATTATTCTTGAGAGTAGCACGGTATACATTTCCATATCCTCCTTCTACAATAAACTTAACATTCTTAAAGTGTGAAAATTCGTAAAATTTAATATGCACTTCTTCAAGGCATTTTTTAATTAAGTCATTATTAGATAGGTTCATAACTAAGTTCTCAAAATATCAACGTAATGTACTGTAACTATCTAATATCTGATATGTATCAGAATAGTTACACGGAATTGTCGCAACTCATACTAGATTTAGCGTTAGGTGTTAACTCAGAGTCACATTATGTATGTGTTTAGATAACACAAAAAACATATAACGATAACGATAAGGCCACACAAAATTATACAATTGTTTTTCATATCACAAATGATAATCAGTGACGCGACGCACGGCTTTTTTTTTTTTTTTTTTAAGAAAAGGTTTTTTAATTATATAATTGGCTTTCCCTTGTTGCTTATTTCCCAACACCATATTGACAACACATGCAGGCACTGGCACTAGCATCTGTTCAGCACTTGCAGAACCTCCAACTAACTTCTTTCAAAAAAAAATCGAAAGGGTTTTCATTAGAACCAGACAAGGTCTTGAGTGCAGCGATTCCAGGTTTACGCGCTCCTCTATTACCAAGACGAAGTACCAGCTTTGACCATATGTGCTGCCATCAATAGAAATCAAGCAGATCTACATTTGAAAAAAAATAATACTTCAACATTCACAGCTCATATTTCGATGAATTTTAAAGCTATATTGATTATCTAGTATTCAAAAGAAAGTTTAGATCGTACGCTTTCTTTTGAATATTAACTTATCAAGGTAGCTTTAAAATTCATCAAGATATGAGCTTTGAAAGTTAATGTATTGGTTTTTTTCAAATGTAGATCGGCTTGATTTCTATTGACGGCAGCCCATATGAAAAAGTCGCAAAGCTGATCCTTAAAAAAATATTTGCTAAATATGAAAAAAAATCAAATAATTACTGACCTGATGAAGGTACTAAAAAACAAAGGGTACATTCAGAAGAAATCTTCGAGACCGATTCAGAAAAAGCAGATAGAGAACGCCAGCATGGTTCGTATACCATCCAACCAGAATGTTGAAAATACAGAACCGACTAGTCCATCAAAAGGAATCCATTTAATCACTTCCTCATACGAAAAAATATATCCTTATATATACTTTTTCATCCTTGGATTGTCTTGTTGGGATCCATGTTTTACTCCATGCAATATTCGTGTTATTTTTATTACAATATTCACATTTTCCAACATTTCAAACTCTTTATATGTTTATTTATTTGTGATTCTTAAGCTCTAATGCAAGTGATCTTTATACTTACGAACTAAATTAATCCGATAAAAAACGCATGAAAACCATCTCTAGGTTACTGCTATTATCAACACCTGCAAAAATTTTCTTTTCCGAAATTTCCTTGATTCCGTCCTAAGAATTATTTAACTTTCGGAAACTATGCCGCTTTCTCCGGATCGAAGTTCTAAAAACAGTGATATAGTTTAGGACGGGATCGAGAAGATTTCGGGAAAGAGAAATTTTTGCAGGTGTTCCAGAAATTATAATAATAGCAGTAACTATATAAAAAAAAAAAAAAAATTACAAACCCAACTTCACTGACGAGGGCGGGATATGAATGTGGCCTAATAGGAAAATCAAGACTACTTTTTTAATCAAAACACCAACTTTAGCTAACAATCCACAAGTTGATTCAATTTTGATTTAGTTGTTTTAGTAAACTATAATGTAAATAAATCCGAAT